CGAACAACTGATGTCCGCTTGTCCTGTGTGTTAGGGTGGCTATTAGTAGGTAGTCTTGTTCTATAAAACTCAGACCCCGTCATTATAACTTGTCCTAAATAACTTATTTAGATTCTGTTTGTTCTCTGGTTGATTTTCCTGGGGACCTAAAGCGCTCGGATGAAGTAGCATAGTTGCTTCACTGACGTGTCTGAGTTTCCCACTTGGGACAGGCGTGCTCTGTGTTTTGTTTTCTAGTGGCAGCAGCCCAAGTTCCTCTGAGTTAGCCACACGACTACATCCATGGTTCAGCTTAACACACCACCGTGGTGTGTAGTGATTCCCAGAGGCACCTGCAGACTGTTTGATTTAAGGGTTTTGGTGAAACCACCAAGATATCGCTATGAGGGAGCACACGTTTCCCTAGCTTATCATCCCCACATCCCATGGAGTGCCCAAGTTCCATTCCCAGCTCTGGCACCTGAGTTCAGCTTCCTGCTTGTGCAGATCCTGGGGAACAGTGGGCTGCTCGGGTAGTTCAGTTCCTGACAACCATGCAGGAGACCTGAATCGGGTTTCTGGCTCCCAGAATCTGATCCCAGACTAGCCCTGTCCACTGTGGGCATCTGGGGATTGGACTAGCAAATAAGAACCACTTTTTTTTCTCTATCTCAAATAAATAGATAAAAAACATATACATGTTACAATTATACAGCTACCCCAAGCTGTCAATAACATCAGGACATAAATAAATATTACTTATTTTTTGGACCTTGTGATGCCTCGTATATCTGCCCTTCTCTTATCTGATTTCCCAGGTTTTTTTCTTCAGATTCTGGGTATCTTTATTCCTCTCATTATTCCAAACAGCCAGTCACACCTTTCAACCCTTTCTCCTGGAGAGCTCAGATTCTAGAATAGGAGAGTATCAGGGAACAGGGGAGCTGCTAGAAACTTTCTTTGGGTCAGGATCCCTTAGGGAATGGAACAACACATCCAGAAAATACCAGGAGGGTTCAGCACGGCAGCCTAGTGGCTAAAGTTCTCACCTTGCACACACCAGGATCCCATATGGGTGACAGTGCTAATCCTAGCACCCCCCACTTCCCATCCAGCTCCCTACTTGTGGCCTGGGAAAGCAGTCAATGAGGGGCCAAATCCTTAGGACCCTGCACCTGCATGGGAGACCCAGAAGAATCTCCAGGCTCCTGACTTCAGATTGGCTCAGCTCTGGCTGTTGCAGCCACTTGGAGGGTGAATCAGCAGATGGAAGATCTTCCTCTCTGTCTCTGCTCCTCTATGTATATCTGACATTCCAATAAAAATAAAATAATCTTAAAAAAAATAAAGTTCATTTTTAGAAAATGCCAGGTGAAAATGAAGAACACCAGCAGATTTCAGCCAGAGGCTGAATCCAGAATGTGCTTTGTGGGGATGTTATTCTCTCTTTCATCCTGGAAATGCCAAGGCAAATAGATTTTTAATTAAGCTAATAATTTTACATGCCAGGGGAAATCTCAAGTTTCTTGAAAAAGTAAAGAATAATTAGATGGTAGAGATCCTTCGGAAAGGCAGTGACTGTAAATGAGAAGCCTGCAAACTTTGTACATCACAGGATTGGCTTCTAGTTCTCTCTCATCTCTCAAGTCCTGAGCTGTAGTTTGTCCGAGGCTTGGACCCCAGAGGACACCATTAGGACGTGGGACCCTGTAAGTTGGGAGGGTGGAGCATTGAGGAATGCTTGAATAACTTCTTAATTTGTGATATCTTGCTCCCACAGGACCGAGTAAGGTACCACTAGATTGCAAGTCCACTCCTGACATTCTTGCTTCTGTACTTTTTGCCGTGAGGGGAAGCTGCAAGATGGCATCGCCAGATGTGGCTGCCCAACCCTGGGCTTGCCATCATCCAGAGCCACAGACATAATAAACCAGTTTTCTTTATATTTGCCCAATCTCAGATTTCCCATGATAGCAGCAGAAAATGAACTAAGACTTTGAGCTGAAAAATTCTAATATTAGGCATGATTTCTACAGAATAAGGGGGGAAAAAAGGAGAAGGACTTCTATTGAGAGTTAACTGAAAGGTACCAGAAAAGTTGGGTAACTCAGTTAAATACAGCAGAATGAGGCATGTGAGGTGTTGTATTTATGGCCATTTGATGAGTTCAGAGAAAGTTATCCCCTACTCAGGAACCACTCTCTGTCACTGACTAGCAAGGGTCCATAACTCACTCATTGTCCTTTGTCTTCTGAATGACCTTAGAAAATTCACTGTCCAGGAAGAAATAAAATAACCTGCCATCCAGTTCCTTGAAAATGCCAAGATGTTATTTATTGCTAGGAAACCAGGAGAGAGCCAGGAGATGGTGCAGAACTGACTATAAAGACCCTATTGTCTTTGTAGTTTTGCCAAGTGTGGACACTGTGGGAATAAGATACTGATGCAGTTACAGGTGCCTTCCTAAGTTCTTGGAGCTTCTGCAAGAATACAGAAGGAAAGATACTTAAGATCTTGTCTTCCAAGTCTGTAGGCTAACCCTTGTGGTGCTGGAAAAGGTCTCTGCAGACAATCCGTTAAGTTGTTCAGAGTTTTAGTGTGAAAGGTAGATTCTCAGAAAATAATTTTACATGAAGGCCTCTGTCAGCTAAGTCTTTCCCAGCCGGATTGTAAAGGTCCCGGACCTGGGACACGCTGGACATGAAGTGAATGTTTCTACTACTTTTCCAGGTTAATGTTTTGTCCTTGGCATTGGCTTACAATTGTTGGGATGCTTTGCTCCTGCTAGCCCCACAACTTTTCCTGGGAAATGAATAGTCCACAATGAAGAGGACAGGAAAACGACTTAGAGATACTCCATTGTAACACCTAACTCCATCGATGAGGAGAGTCAGGGGCAGGCTTGATGATTATTTAAAGAGGAAACTTGAAGTCAGTGTTGTGATGTGGTTGGCAAAGCCAGGATGTCTCCTTGGGTATCCAAATCTCCACGACAACCTGCCTAAGCTATTCGGAGGGCTTCTTTCTTTCAAAGAGGTTTTTGTTTTGTTTTGCAATATAGGGGGGAAAAGCCCCACAATTCAAAGAAATGAAACATTCTAGGAAAATGTGACTGGAAAGCAGGGCTATTGTTTATTTTCTAGACATCAGTGGATGAGCTCCGCACCTCTTCATCCCAGGCTGCTTCACAGAAGCCCCTGAGGCCTGTTCCTGTTTCTTACCTACTTGTTTCTGTGTGTGAGGTCACCAGGAACCAGAACAAAAAGCATTTTTAGTAGATTGGTTGGAATTGAGTACCGTTCTCTCTTGTTCAGTTTACTCTGTGGATAAATTCAGATTTACTTTCTCCTTTTGTCAGGCGGGCACTGATGTTGCATTAGCCTGCTCTTCGGGTACGGGGACATAAGCCACTGGCCCAGAATCCAGTGCGTTTCCAACTCAGCTCATCAACCCCCTACCTTCCTGCTGCCTGAACGAGGGTTCATTGTGAACAATGAGGCCATCTTTGATGACCTGGGCTCTTTCCCACATCCTCTTTGGGACTGACTTCCCTAGTGACAAGATCACAGAGGGGCATCCTAAATGCCTGTTTATCTGCAGCCTTCCTTCCTTTATGGGCAGTCTTGCACCCAGAGGGAGAGCAGCTAGTTTAATATGCCTGGAAAGGTTGTCTGTTTGTCACTTAGAGAAGATGTAGGCGGTACAGCCTCAAGCCTTCCTTTTGTGGGCGTTTGATGGACAGCCAGAAGCAGGTCTGATTTGTGAGGAACCGAGTTGTTGACACTATTTGCTTGGGAGCCTATGATGTGTAAGATGTGGCAAGATTCCTGGGCGGGGTGGGGAAAGGCAATTCCTCGGGTTCATCAGAGAGTTGCGTCCCTTTATCTTGGGTGGCACAGTGGCCCAGCCAGGCTCCCTGACGTTAAGCAAGTGTTTTCTTTGCTGGAGCTTTAATGACCTGGTTCTGAATGTTGCTGCTTATTCACTGGATTTCATGTTCCATTTCCTTGTTATTCTTTAGGATCTGGAGCAATTATGGTCTGCACACATCATATGCATTATTATCTCATTTATATCATTTCCTGCTTCTCAATATTTTTCTAAAACTCAAATGCAAGGAGTCTTGTTCCTGCAAATGTATACTATGGAAAAGCTGCATGGATTCTTTTTTTTTTTTTTTTGCTAGCAAAATAAACTTACCTTTTAATTCCATTTTCTGTGAACTTTGTCTGCCCTTTATATGGAAAAGTGACTAACCCTTCTACATTCTGTGTCACCAACTCCTCAATTGTTCCCGGTTGACACAGTTCCCAAATGTTGCGCTTTGTTCTGGTTCTCTGTGGCTATACTTGTTGTACTCTGTCAGAACTACTTTTAATGTGGTCCCCAGCCTGGAAACGATACTCTCTGTGCTCTGAACAGCTCCAATAGGCCCATTCCCAAGAAATACACTTGATACACATTCAGTGTGACTTGTGGTTCCCAGTGTTACTGGGTCAGTCACATCTTACACCAGCCAGCAACCCTCCCCAACCCCAACAAGTATCCTCTTCACTGTGGGACAGAGGGGCCTCTTGCTGTGCACTTGATTTTCTTGATCTTAGGAGTGAGGCTTCTCATTTCCTCTGATATTTTAATCCTTTGACCCTATGGAGTTGTGATATTATTCCATTGGGACCAAACGGATCAGAGTCTACCACAACCAAATGAAATTGTTAGTGGAGCAGAAAATTTTGCTTCTTAGTGGTTTGTTGAGTTAAAATCCTCCCCTACTTCCCAATCCCAGGACACTTATATCAGTGATACCTTGGTTATGGAGTTTTTGGATAACTTGTAGCATCAACAATTCTAGATATTCAAAGAAGGACTGGAGTGTTGAGATTCTCTAGGAGTTGGGTGCCTTCATCTGTCAGCCAGCTTTTGAGGTGTATTGTCCTGTGCTAGCCACTGACTGCATCTGTCCATCATGGGGTTCAGAAGGGCATGTGGGGTTCTAACCAGCACCTCTCTGTGTGTTACAGTTACCTGGCTGAGCAGTGCTGGAATGGCGGCTTCATCTACCTGATCATGCTGCGGCGCTTCAAGCACAAAGCCCACCCTACTTACAATGGCGCCAGTAGCAACAGCTCTGAACCGGGAGACACACCTACCTTGGAACTGGGTGACCGAACAGCAAAAAAGGGAAAAAGAACAAGAAAGTTTGGGGTGATTTCTAGGCCGCCCACCAGCAAGACCCCTGAAGAATCCAAGAGCGGTGTTGGCTGTGAGTCCACCAATAACCCTAGCTCGGAGATAGAGAATGGCCCGGACCCTGCACTTGGAAATGGTCATGCCTTTGAGCTAGAAAATGGGCCAGACTCTCTCAAGGAGGTGGCTGGACCCCATCTAGAGAGGTCAGAAGTGGACAGAGGGACAGAGAATAGAATTCCTCTGGCCCCGGGCAATGACAAACGGCGTTTCTCTAAAGCTGGGAAGACAGACTGCCAATCGAATGACTGCCTGGCACGGGTAAGTTTTGGTTTGATGGTAGAATCTGAATGTTAAAAGAAATAGTGTTGAAGTTGCTTTTAAGGTTAAAAACCATCTCTGAGGTGGCTTTGTGTTTAGAAGCCAACAAATTCAAGATAAATTATTGGAGCACACAACAATAGCAAAAAAAAAAAAGTCGTTTCATCCTATTTAAACAAAGAGCTGGTCAAGCGATCACATTAGCAAGTTCAAGTCTTTGGTGGTAAAATTTAAGTCCTGTAAAGTCCGGAAAAAGTACTTGATCTCTATCATGACTTATCACCGCTGTCACTATGGCATTGCCACTTCAAGGCCAAGAATTCCCGATGACAATTGATAACACAAGTGCACGAGTTGCATTATTACACAGGAAGGGGATGCAGCAGGCAGGGAAGCATCTGCTTTTATTTGGAACAGTTGAAAACCAGTGACATTTTCACGGGCTCGTGTGATTACCTCGGTGAATTCCTGTGGAGTTTGGAAGCTTCACAGAAGTTCCTACTACTGTGATGTCTAGCAGTGGGGGTCAAGGTTGGTCTTATTAAAGGCAAAGTCGATGTGGTACGTTCTAGATGGGAAGAGGTGACTGTGTCTCTTGCCCATCATAACTAACATTTTCTCATTTAAGTAAGATTTCTTAAAGGCAAATGTTTTCATTCCAAGGATCCTCTTGGCAGATTTTCCTCTGGACTCTTGATGACATAGTTGCTTCCTACGTGGGTACCAGTTGATTTCTTGCTGAACTTAAGAAGGTCTCTAGGGAGTTTAAAAAAAAAAAAAAGTGAAAGTATCAAGTTCATCTTTGCTTACTGGGAATGACTACAATTTCTACAAAGACTACTCCATATATACTTTTCCAATGATGGACCATTTTTGTGATAGATTGTAGTCCTTCTCTCAGGGAATATGTTCCTCATTTGATTTTCAGAGGCAGCACCATGTATTGATGGAATGCATGAACCTGTCAGAAGGAAAGAAGTGATGATCTATAAATGCTTTCCACCACTTTCTTAACCCTACCCCCATCAATTAAGGCAAAGAGAGTTATGGAACATTCCTTCACACACAAAAACTTATTTTGATACTATAAAAAATGTAATAATGTGGTCCTGGGCAGTGAATAATATATTGTCATATGACTTTTCCCCCAAAGGATTAGACTGTAAATAGACAATGATAAATGAAAAGGAAAAATAAGGCAAGAAATTTTGTTGCCTCAACAATTTGAAGGGTTAAGGCACAGAAAGAGGGTGAATCTAACACACAGTCCCAAGAACAGGCTTTATTTGGGCTGAGACAGAGTGAAAATTACTTGGAATGATTTTAAAAGGAAAATACAACTTACAGGGAGCACCTGTTGTCTGCTCAATCTGCTCAAACATAAAAAAGGAATTCCTGTACTAAGCCATCGGTACTTGCTTTTATCCCAAAACTGAGAGGTGATAAGGGCTAAACCGTTGGAAAACTGTGCTACAAATGAAGAAGTCACGGGCAAGGAAACCTGACCTATTGCTTTTGCAAGATTTTCTACCACAAGCTAATGTCTGTGGGAAGGAGAGACCATTGAGGATTTCTGCTTTTCTCACCAGTACATAATCCACTTTGGCCCTAGGTCTTGATTTTGGTCTTGGGTGGTCAGGTTGTGCCACACCCCATCTCTGGTACAAATGTCTAGGCACCTTTTTTTTTTTTTAAAGATTTATTTATTTTTATTGGAAAGGCAGATATATAGAGAGGAGGAGAGACAGAGAGGAAGATCTTCCGTCCAATGATTTCACTCCCTGAGTAGCTGCAACAGCCAGAGCTGAGCTAATTCGAAGCCAGGCGCTTCTTTTGGGCCTCCCATGTGGGTGCAGGTTCACAAGGTTTTTGGGCTGTCCTTGACTGCTTTCCCAGGCTACGAGCAGGGAGCTGGATGGGAAGCGGGGCTACTGAGAAAGAACTGGCACCCCATGGGATACCAGTGCATGCAAGGTGAGGACTTTTGTCATTAGGCCACCGCGCCCAGCCCCAGGCATCTTTTTCTACAGGTGCATCTGGGAGGTTGAGAGTGACAAGCTCAATTTCACAGCCTCACCACATCCTAGTGATTTCAACATGGAACCTCAGGTTGCTTAGGTTCTGGAACTAGAATGGATTTTTATTTTTCTCTAGGATAGTTGAGACCAAGGTCGTCCTAAAATAGAATTTCCAGGGGAAAAAAAATTATTTGCCTCTTAAAATCTTAGGAAGAAAAAATTCCTTTCTCCTTGAATAATAGATTAAACAATTCAGTGTTGTACCATTTTGGTTTTATTGATGATTTAATATAACTACAAAAATTTAACAAATTACACAAAAGGCTTCCAAGGATCATTCAGACCATTTTTACTTGTCAGATACTTCTTTTTCATAGAGGGTTTTGTTCCAAGAAACAGTTACCTTACCATAAATCTTCAGTCTTTGTTTTCCTATTTGGTTCTTCCTCAACAGAGCAGTAAGAAACACACTTCCTTCCCACAGATGCTTCACCTTTTAAAAAATGGCATGTTTCCACAAAATTAGAACCCATAATGATGCACGCTTAATATGAAAAAAAAAATGTAAAAGTTGAATCCTTCCTCCAAGCCATAGGAAACTCTTAGGACACAGGCAACCATTTTAGAAATAAGTTCAGAATTCCTTCTGTCTCACCAAGATCCTTACCACCCAATATCATACTTTTTGCGATTCTATTTATGTAAATTGTATAATGTGTGTATGTGTGTGTGAAAGAGAGAGAGAGAGAGATGCTGCATCATGAAAGTGAATATAGCCAAATGTGGTCTCACAGTTTAAAAAGAAAAAAAAAACAAAGAAATGCCAGACAGATGAATTTATTCATAGCTGTCCTATATGCATCTGTGGATGTGGCTGAGTTCTTCCCCAAGTAATCATAGCCTCTCCTACACGATGGCAGACCTCTCCCTGCGCCTTTTCCATCACTGACATATCAGCCACCTAGCAGAAGCTACCCCAGATCTGACATGCAAAACAACACGGAGCACTGAAAGAGGCTCTCAATTTCTCTCTCTCTCTCTCTTTCTTTCTGTCTTTCTCTCTCTCTCACACATACACATCTCCCCTCTTCTCTCCTCTCTCTCTCTCTTTTCTCTCTTCTCTCTCTCTCTCTCTCTCTCTCTCTCTCTCTCTCTCTCTCTCTCTGGCTCTCTCTGGCTCTCTCCCTGCTCTCTCTCCATATCTTGCAGCACTTTGCAGTAGACATGACAGCATGAGCGGAGGCGATTCTCTCCTAGGAAGTCCCATGATCATTATTTTATGCTACATGGGGATGTCTGCTGAGTCCATGTCTGTGCCTTCATAACCCTCCTGTGCCCTTGAACCTTCTGCCAGCTCCCTGCAAGGGTGTCTATCTTTGGTGTTCCAATTCATGCCTAAAGATTGGGGCATCTTCTTTCTCCACCATCCAGCACCCTCCAGTGTTGTGTCTCACCACCTTCAAGTTGCTCCAGTTACAAGCAAAACATTCAACCAGGGTGAACACGCATCCTGACTTGTGCAAGACTTTCCCTGGTTTCTCCCTGCAAATCCTAGAATATCTGCCATGGCAGGAAACCTGGGCTGGCTAGGCATCCTGCAGGCCACTGAGACACTGCCCTTTCCCTCACACCACATCCAGTGCATATATCGCCACAGCCTATCCATCTGGCTTCCTTTTAGATCTTGCAGCTCCATGCACCTCTCTCTCTTTTTTTAAGATTTATTTGTTTTTATTGGAAAGTTAAATATACAGAGAGGAAAAGAGATAGAGAAGAAGATCTTCCGTCCACTGGTTCATTCTCCAAGTGGCCACAATGTCTGGAGCTGCACCAATCCAAAGCCAGGGGCCCAGATCCTCTTCAGGGTTTCCCATGCAGGTGCAGGGTCCCAAAGCTTTGGGCCGTCCTTGACTGCTTTTCCAGGCCACAAGCAGGGAGCTGGATTGGAAGTGGGGCTGCTGGGATTAGAACCATCACCCATATGGGATCCTGGTGTGTGCAAGGCGAGGACTACTGCACCAGGCCATCATGCATCTCTCTTTTCTCTGCTTGTACAAATTTAGGTCATGACCAGATACTTGACTTTTGCACCTGGCAGTGATGATCGCCAGTCAAGATCTGCTGGTCTTCGTGCCCACTCTCCCACAATCATCACCGTGCAACCACAGGGACCCTTCTAAAGAGCAAACCCTCGTCACTTATGGAGACATACAAGTGCATGGACATCCATTCCACACACACACACACACACATACACACACACACGCTGTAGCTTAAACCATGTGATGAGTTTATTTTGCTTTCAGGATAACCTCTCAACTTATTTCGGCATGTCATTCAAAACCCTCTGTTCCCTAATCCCTGCTCAATGTTCTGCCTCCATGTATCACTGCTCTCTTTCTAACGTTCATCAGTTTATTCTATAATAAGGGATATTACAAAGGATGAAGGTGAGTAGACAGACAAAGGGACACACAGAACAAGGTACAAAAGTATCCCCAGGGCAATAGAAGGTTGTGCTGCCTTCACACTACATGGAGACACTGACCAACCTGGGTACTCCCCAAGCCTTATCCCTGAGGGATTTCTAGCGCAATTGTATTCCATAGACATGCTTGATTATTAGCCTCAATTCCAACTTGTCTTTCCTGTGGGATGGAGGATGGTGGAACTGGAGGTGCCATGCTTCTGCTGACTTGGTCTTTCTGCTGAGCAGCATCCATCCTAAAGCTGTCCAGGATATCCAGTTTCTTACCGTGTTCTTCCTTCCCAGTTTAGACTGAATTGCCACAGGTTTTCTTTGTTTTGCTTTTGTTGTTGTCATTACAGTTTTTTGAAAGTAATGTATTTGGGACAGAGAGTGCTGCCATATGCTGGCTTATTCCCTAGATGCTCGCAATGGCCAACAGGGCCTAAAATGGGAGCCAGGAATTCAATTCAGGTGTCTTATGTGGGTGGCAGGAATCCAGTCACTTTAGCCAA